CCCCCCCCCCCCCCCAATAGAATCACTACAGAGGGGACAAGTCTTTTGAAGTAAAACAGCTTTACAGATAAATTGAATTTTGAGCCTAAACCGTTGATAATGCCCTTTGCAAATGAACCTTCACCCCCTGCAATGACTGCATATCTCAAGCAGCAGCTCAGTCTGAAGGCATTAAGAAAATGTTGCTGCAACTGCTCCAGTAGCTGGAGATCTATTCCAAGGCAGTCTCAACTGTCTGAAATAAACCTTGCCAGTCTCATGGAAAAATGTAACAAGCTAAGCTCTGTATAAACCCCTGGAAAGAGCTGTTCTGTGTACTGAGCAAGGAATTTGGAATAGCCAAAATGACAATCCTTTTGCCCTGTCCTTGTTCTGTGTTCAACGAAGAAGGGTGATTCAGGAGCCCTGGCTTCTTTTGCCAGTTCCATCTTAGTGTTTCACCATGACAGAGATGGACCACCAAAGATGGATGTAATAATAATTCCTTGTTCGAGTCTCAATTTATAGATATTTGCATGGTCAGCTATTGCAGTTATGAGAGCCACAGATATGCCGATTTTTAAATAAGTATTTAGTAAATATTTAGTATTTTCATTCTGAGAAAGTCTTTATTTTTTGAAAGGCAGCCACATCTAAGGTGGAAGACAACAACCAACAGAGCAGCAGAGGAAGCTTATGGTCAAAGAAATACAACACGTGCATACTCTGACTCAGAAAGTAACCTCTAACCTCTTGTATAGCCCAAAAATAGGGTCAATGTGATACCTGAGTACTGTCAAATACGCTCACGATTATCTTTGCTCATACAAATTTCATGCGGAACTTTTTGCAGTTGCAGTATTTCAGCTTGGCTTCTCATTTTGTATCTTCTGAAATACTGAATCATTATTTTCTGAGAGCATCGAATTCAGCCCTGTGGGATTTTTTTTATTGCTACAACACCAGAATCCCAATTTCTACAGGACTGTTGTGAAAGCCCACGGTTCCTGCTGTAAACAGTACGGACATCTGCCGTAGCAAGAATGGACAGCACACACAAGAGTGGCTGACTAGACCTGCAAATTCATCTATGTTTTACACTGGCCGCATCTGATCACCAAGCTGCCTTTCCTGACACATCCCTCTCTCCAAGTCCATCTTACTGTAGGATGTATGGGTGACCCAGTAGGTATATTTGTGAGGATGGCTAGTCTTTGTCCTTGTCATTGGCAGAGCTTAGCGTGGGTACTGGCATCCAGCCTAGCTGGTGCTTTCACTGAAGCTGCTAACTTTTCAGAAGCTGTAGTGTGTTATTTATTATTACTTCAGCCTTGGCTTAATGCATTAATTAAAGGCTTCTAGTAGTGCTTAGGGAGAAAAGTCACTTGTGAGCACAGTCCCTCCCTGCCCGCTCCCTGTCTGCACCAGAACTTACTTTTCCTAGTGTTGCCATGTCCTCGCCTCAGGGACGATTGTCCTGGAGTGCCTGGCATAGCCATGTTCCTTGCTGGTGAGGTCATGGTTGTTGGCATCAAAGCAGACTTCAAAGGTCTGCTTTGCCTTGGCCCATTCTCTGAGATGCTTCCTTGGGAGGAAAGGGAGGATGTAGATAACGTCCAACTGGCATACAGGGAAGGCATCCTTGAATCTGAGATGTTGGATGATTTCCTGGTTTAACAGATTGAAAAGGACAGCAAAATAAGAGCAAGTTAAAGCTGCAGAGTTCAAATCTATATTTTCAATCCCCTCCAGTCATCCAGGTAGATTTTGCTTCAGTGGATTGGAAAGAAACAGGGCGTTTGCCAAACACAGATCCAGATCAGGATTTTTTCAACGCTACCACTAGCTTCCCGGGATAAAGGGGTTCAGGGCAAAACATTCGGGAGCCTGCACAGATTAGTTTCTTGATTAAACTGTACTCTCAGCCCTTTTGCTCTCGCATTGTAACTGGGCCTTCGAAGACACGACTTTGAATGCTTTGTGTCAATGGCATTTTGAAAGGAGGCCTTCTAGGTGCCCGGCATCCACCAAAGCACCAGCTCAGTAAGAGAGAGGCCTGGCATTATATGGGGCGTGGGCTTTGTTCCACCTCCTTGCTTCAGGCTGCACAGAAGCCATCAAAAGCCATACTCGGGTTTCAGAGGCAGATATCTGCCAAACAAAAATCCTGTGGTAGTCGTGGGGTGAGGCACTGCTGCAAATGGTTTTCAGTAGAGCATGTTAGTCTTGGTGACTGAAGCTTGCCCAGCAACCTGAACTGTTCCTCCCCATAGTGTGGCAGGAGCACATTGCAGGAAAACTTCTGTGCAGCAAAGAGCTCATTGATTTTTGCTCAGGAGGCACAAGCAGTCCTTTTTCCTGAACTGAATGAACTGGGCAAGAGTGAGCACTGGGTGACAAATGTCACACCTTCCACTTGAGGCTAAGGATTGATTCCTCACCACAGCATACAAGTCAGAGTGGTGATTCTTAAGGACAAGGCTGAGGTAGCGAGGACGCCCCTTGGCCCTCTGACTCCACTTTGCCAGCTGCTGTTCAGGCCCCGCAGTGTGCATCTGTCACTTCTGATTATTCGTCTCCTCATCTGCTTTCCCTGGAGAGGTCACCTTGGCCCTTTCACCTGAATCCAGTAAATTGCCAAAACAGCCATCGATCTTCCCTGTCTATGTGATGTCTAAGTAACTCTCCTGAATACGCCCAATTCCCTGGGAAAGTGGGCCAGGGGAGGTCTCTGCTAACTTTGCTGAAGGAGGAGAAAGACAGTGTTTCTTTACTTTACTTTACTTCCCTGTGGCTTGCTTTGGGGGTGGAAGAATGATTTATAGTTTAATAATGGAGCAGCAATTCATCAAAATAACTGAGGCATCAATTTATTATGAAGAAATTTCCAAAACAGGATACAGAATAGCAGCTCCAAAATTGGTACTTATGGTTGAGGCACTTTATGAGCTACTTAGGGTAGCTGAGCTGTGCTTCTGATTGTTTGTTTGCTCTGTTTATCAGTGAGGTGGGGCCTGGGTATTATCAGAGGCTATATTGCAGGGAAATGAGCTGGAACGACAA